GAATCATGACATATATAAGAGGGGACCCAAAAAGACCCAGAACTTATATATAAAAAATGTTCTGCAGTTATTCTCACATGGTTAAACTCCAGTCACCTTCCAAGTACTCTCCATTTGATTCAATATACCTATTGAGACATTTTCTCCATTGCTCAAAACAGTTTGACTTGTCAATTTTGATGCTTTTTAGTGTTTCTGCCATTTTTTTTGTTTCACCTCTTCCACATTGGCAAAACGTTTGCCTTTAAAGATGTTTTTTCATTGGGAAATAAAAAAATAGTTACTCTGGGACTTCCGCCAAGATGAAAGCATATGCAGAGATGCCGTGCTTTCTCACACAACCAAGTTTAGAGACAACTAAATATTAGCAACAGAAAACACAGCCAGAACACAGAAAATTGAACTTTTCGGAAGTCTGATAACAACAAATTCTTCAGCCTGAGAGGTAAGAGGGGCGAAACCAGCATCTGGTGGAGCGGGGTTGCACAGGAAGACTCCGTCAGATGGACTCCGGAGCATGGAATCCAGGCGCAGGGTTGGACCTAGTGAGAGACCCAGCGACCGCGGGAAAACAGTGAGGGAGCAGGGCTGTGGGTTGACTGTGGTCGCGCATTTGTGCGCGGATAGACAAGTGAGAGAGTGGACGATTGGACCGGGACCCAGCGGGTCCCCGTGGCAAGTGGCAGCGGTGGGCGCCGCCATTTCCCCGCTCTGACCCCACCTCCACATACAGCGTCATAACCCAGCGAATCTGAGTGGCCCGGCCCTGGTGAACCACCTAAGGCTCTGTTTCTCACCCAGCTGTGAGAAACAGCAGAGGGGGCTGCCATTCCCCACTCTGACCCCGCCCCCACATACCGCGTCACAACCCAGCGACCTGGGAGTCCAAGGCTCTGGTCCTCACACTTAAAGGGCACGAATAGACCAAAAATGGCTCAAGAAGATCTCAAAGCCCCAGAGCCTATAATTCTAAGTGATGAAGAAATAGCAAAACTCTCAGATGCACAGTTTAAAACCCTGGTGATCAGGATCCTCACAGAACTGGTTGATTATAGCCACAGATTAGACAAACATATGAAGGCGAAACTAATTGAAATGAATGGAATTGCACAGGAAACCAATAGCGATGAAAAGGAAAATGGGACTCAAATCAATGGAGTGGACCACAAGAAAGCAAATAATGTCCAAACAGAAAAGAGTCAAGAAGCAAGAATTCAAAAAAATGAGGAGAGTCTTAGGAACCTCCAGGACATCTTTAAACGCTCCAACATCCAAATTATAGGAGTACCAGAAGGGGGAAAGAAACAGCCACCAGTGGAAAACTCATCTGAACAAATAATAAAGGAGAATTTCCCCAATCTGGCAAATGAAATAGACTTCCAGGAAATCCAGGAAGCTCAGAGAGTCCCAGAGAAATTGGACCCAAGAAGAAACACACCAAGGCACATCATAATTACATTAGCCAAGATTAAAATGAAGGAGAGAATCCTAGAAGCAGCAAGAGATAAGGGGACAGTCACCTACAAAGAAGTCCCCATCAGACTGTCAGCAGATTTCTCAAAAGAGACCTTCCAGGCAAGAAGGGGCTGGAAAGAAGTATTCCAAGTCATGAAATCTAAAGACCTACAACCAAGATTGCTGTATCCAGCAAAACTTTCATTTAGAATGGAAGGACAGATAAAGTGCTTCTCAGATAAGATCAAATTCAAGGAGTTCATCATCACCAAGCCCTTATTATATGAAATGTTAAAAGGGACTTACCTAAGAAAAAAGAAGTTAAAAAAAAAACATGAACAGTGAAAGGACAACAAACTCACAGTTATTAACAACCACACCTAAAACAAAAGCAAACTAAAAGGACAGCTAGATCAGGAGTAGAAACATAGAAATGAAGATCTCAAGGAGGGTTAGCAACAGGGTAGTGGGAGGAGGAGAAGGGGGGAGAAGGTACAGAAAATAAGTAGCATAGACAGTAGATAGAAAATAGATGGGGGGCAAGAATAGTATGGGAAATATAGAATACAAAGAACTTGAGACACATGGTCATAAACTAAAGGGGGGATAATGGTGGGGATGGGAGGGCAGGGTGGAGGGGAATGAAGGGGGGAATAGAACAACTGTAATGGCATAATCAATAAAAAAATAAAATTTTTTAAATACCTCTTTAAATTTTTTTTCTTTTTCTTCTTGCAAATTACCAGGCACCTTGGGTGAAAAGGATACAAATAAAGGCAGTGAATTTCAATTGAGTATTGTTCAGAAAATCATTATTTATTTAGCTAGGTTGAAATCAAATACTCGGATTAAGATAAAAGTGATATCTTGCTTTTATATATGTTGAATATTTTTCTCTTAGGCAATTTGTAAGGGAAAATTGTTGTAAAGTTTCTAAAATTACCTATTATTTAATAAAGAAAGTGTTTCATTTGTCTCTTCAAAAAATAGTTACTCTGGGTGATATCAAGTGAATAGGGAGTATGTAACACAGGGGTCATGCTGTTTTTGGTCATAAACTGCAGAACATTCACTGTGGTGTGGGCATGTGCACTCATAAATTACCCATCATGAAAAGGGCAAACACATTGAAAGAGTCTTTAAAAAATATTCACTGAAGCTGAATGCAGCCTCTCACAACAATGCCAGCTGGTACACTGATACAGATGGGTTCCTAGAACACTCACCTAGCCAGGGAAGCCTGTACTATAAGAGGTCCAATCTTCAGAAGATAATTACATTTTTTCTTTGAGCCCCCCTCATATCTTATGAGTTGTATAATTAATTTTATTCATGATCATGTCTGCAAAAATCAGAAAATTATTTTCCTTCAACATATTAGGATATGGATGAAGTCACATGTACATGCTCCATAGCCCAGCCCAGCTGTGAGCACCATTTGCCTCCATCTTTATGAAGAAAATTATCCAAAATCAAGGCTAGAGAGATAGGCATGGTCCAGGCTGTAAAATGACTATGATGTTACCATAAATAGCTTTGATTTTATAGACAATAGACATAAAAGGATTTTAAGCAATGGAGAGATTATACTTAGATTTTAGTTTAGTAAGATCACCTTGAAGGCAGTGGATGGAAGGCAAGGGAATCACTGAGGCTTCTATTGCAATAGTAAAAATAACTATGAGAACCTCAGCAAAGGTGGTGGCAATTAAGGATGGAAAGAATATGATTGGTGAGATAATTCAGAGACAAAGTTTATAATTGATTAGGCATGAAGTTGAACAAAAATAGGAAGAAATCAAGGGTCATTTGGAAGTTTCTAATGTAAAGACTAACCATTTTGTTTTTAGTGAGAGAGGTAATACAGAAGGAAGACTGTGTTTGAAAATGGAGATAATTACTTCAGTTTGGTAATTAAGGTGCCTGTGGGCTATTTAACTGGAGATGTTCAGGAGACTAAATGAACACATGGGTCTAGAGCCCTAATAGAGCAACTTGTGTTAGAGATATTCATTTGAGACTTGTCATAGAAGATGACAAAATAAACTAAGGCTTTAGCGGCCAACATAGAAAAGAAGAATGACTTTGAAAACTACAAGCATTTTGAATCAATATGACTTGGTGACTTATTGGATAAAGGGAATGTAGAAAAGAGGGGGAAGTCTAGGGCAAACCTCAGGTTTCTCATTTTGGAGCCTTGGGTGGGTGATGGTTCCACTGTTATGGGCTGAATTGTGCACCCCCCAGCAATTTCATAGGTTAAAGCCTTAATATCCATTACCTTAAAATGTGACTGTATTTGGAGACAGGGCCTTTAAAGAGGTAATTTAAAAAACTAGGGGCTTATGAAAGGAGTATAATCCAATATGACTAGTGTCCTTATACGAAGAAGAATTAGGACATAGACATATATAGAAGGAGAATGTCATGTGAAAATGAAAAAGGTTATCTACAAGGCAAGGGTGGAGGCCTCAGAAGATACCAACTCTGTTGACACTTTAATCTTGGACTTCTAAAGCTGTGAAATACAAATTTCTGTTGTTTACATTACTAGTCTGTGGTACTTTGTTATGCAGCTTTAGTAAACTAATATAGCCACCAACCAAGATTAGGAATATAGGAAAGAAAGTAGGGTGGGAGAAGGGGTTATTGAAAAAAGAAATTTGACACAGGACATGTTTGTTGCATTTGAGATTTCTGAGGCACACCCAGGTAGAGATATTCAAATGGCTTTGAAATTCAAGAGATAAAATGGGCTGCTAAACACAGATTTGGAAATCATTGATATATAAGTGATATTTTCAACTGTAAGCGTGACTGAGATTATCTAAGAAGTGTGTAAGATCATCAAAGATAGAACCACAAAGAATATCAACATTAAGGAACAGATTACAGAAGAGAACCTAGGAAAGGAAAGTAATCTGAGAAATAGGATAAAAGCGAAAGAAAACTTATATTTAACCTTTTTAAGACTGTTTTTAAGTATAATTAGTTGAGTACATATTGACCTTAGTCCTCAAAGAGTTTTAACATAGTGGAGGAGGCAATATTTTATTCATTTCTGACTCTCCAATGCCAAGCACAGTTCCTGACATTTAATATTCCTGTAATAAATATTTACTAAATTGAATGGAATTGAAATCAGGACATCAGTACTCTTCTTGTTTTGTTTGCATAGTTCTGGAGTATGCAGAATGTATTGCCACTGATATTTTAAGCTCAGAGTGAAAAATCATTTTAATGTGTCCAAGACTTGGTCCCCTTCCAAACCAACACCTAGAACAATAGTTTTCATTGTACCTCCTGTCTTTGCCATTCTGGATTAAATTGTGTGCACAGAAGTTATATACATATATGGGTATATCCATGTAACAAATTATAGCACAGGAGCCCTCTGGGCTCCCTCAGGCTCTGGTATGACATATTTGAGCCATATAAATTCAGCTTCTCCTCTGGCATCAGTTAGCCGACTCACTTGCAACTCCACCTCAGCAGTGGTCTCAGTTCTCTCAAAGCCGGGAAAGCGTACTGTGTGCTGAGAGACTATGGCCAAGAATCCTCCAGAGAACTGTGAGGACTGTCACATTCTAAATGTAAGTTGATTAATATTTTTTCCCTTTTGAACAGAAGTATGGCTGCAGAGTTTATCGTATAGTAATGTGAACATTAGAAAGTGAAATCAAAGGTGACTGAATTATGGCTTGCTATTCTAAGGATTATTGTGTATTGTTTTATTTTCTTTGTTCTTTGCTTAGGCAGAAGCTTTTAAACCCAAGAAGATATGCAAATCACTTAAGATTTGTGGATTGGTGTTTGGTATCCTGGCCTTAACTCTAATTGTTTTGTTTTGTGGGGGCAAGCACTTCTGGCCAGAGACACCCAAAAAAGTAAGTAAATGCAATTGTGGTTCAATGATTCTCTGTTTTGAATTTGATTGAATTTAATGACATGTATATTAGTCTGAAAATTAAAATCATTAAGTTTCTTTTGTGTTTATTTTCTGGTGGTATGAAAGACTGAATTCAAGATTTTTCTCTCTTTTTCTTGCCTAATTATTTTGGTAAAGGAAAAATGTGTTTTCTGGATTTTAGTTATTAATTACAGAATGTAGAATTTCTCATTCTTTTGTAATGCTTCACTTTAAGGAGTTAAGATTCTTCCTAGGAGCAAATTTTTACTGTAAAAATAAAATACTTTCCATATTTCTTTCAATTGCCTGGGCAGAAACTGGTGGAAAAGCAATTATACCACCACATAAGAAGAAACCACCAGAAATGGCAGCAAAGAATTTTCAGGGATTATGTTTCTGAATTACTGCATCTGCTGTGAAGACAGGCAGCAAACTCCTTTTCAGAAGGAGCAATTCTCATATCTGAGTGCACATGTATTTACAACTTGAGAAATATTAACTAGAGCTTTTCAACTCCTAACCAACCACAATTGTCATTGTGCCACTGACAGAGTAATACCATAAGGTAGAAACAAATAATAAATCACAGGTATCTCAGAAAGCTTCTGATATTAGGGTCATTTGGTGAAGCTTAGCTGGCCATTATAGTTGGTATCAGTTTACCCTAGTGTTATTGTTACTTCCAGGCTCACAAGCAATGGGAAAGTCTAGATGTGATTTTTAAAAAATCATAGTCCCTTCATGTCAACAATTAATTCTCTTTTCATTTGAATGGTATTAATAAGTGTACAAGCTACAAGCTATCAAGATGATTTTCTGGTTTTGCCACATTTTTCTTTCTGTGTGTGGATTGCTGTTGTTACTATTGTTATTAATTAATTGTCACAAGATTCTCATTTCTATTTGATAACAGATGTAGGGAGGGAAAAGCACAAGTGCAAGAGGGAGGATGAAAGACAAGAAGAAAATGGACTGGTGTGGACCAGTAGGAGCCAAAGGAGCAATAGGAGCAGAGAGGAAAGATTATGGATTGATACAGAAAGTTAGTGGGGAAGAAAATGGAAAATCGATTGAACAAGTGTCCAAAAGAAAACAGAGGAATAAGGCAAAGCCACACCTTGGATTTTTCATCTCTGCTGCCACACTCACTTTCATTTAGTTTCAGAGGCTACCTTAATTTTTTAAAGATGTTATTTATTTATCTTTAGAGGGGAAGGGAAGGAGAGAGGGAGAGAAATATCAATGTGTGGTTGCCTCTCATGTGTCCCCTCCTGGGAACTGACCTGCAACCCAGGCATGTACCCTGACTGGGAATCGAACTGCGATCCTGTGTTTTGCAGGCCCATGCTCAATCCACTGAGCTACACCAGCCAGGGCCATAGAGGCTACCTTATTTTAAGGAGAAACAATAAATAGTGAAACAGCATATTTTGTCCCAAAAAAGATTTCTGGCATTACCCAATGCCTATAGATAGCTTTCTAGATAATGATGATAGATAGATGATGATATAGATAGATAGATAGATGATAGCTAGATAGATGATAGATAGATAATCAATGTTCCCTGCTTCTAAACTATTTACTGTTCACACATCTTTCTAGAGAAACCACATATATTAATGCTAGGAAAGTGAGCAAAGTAATAAAGATCAGGAAAGAAACAGCAAATGAATAAGAGTGCCAAAACGCATTCCAATCCAATTTTGGTACCACTTAGATCATTCACAAGGTGATACGCTGACCCACAAATTGAATCTCAGATCCTCTTGACAATTACAGGTGAGTTAGGGAACAATAAATTCTTTTGTTCTCCATGTTCATATGTACTTAACTAAGTATTGTAGCGAGCTAGCCCTTTGGACCACCCATGCATGCCTACCTAAACATGGGGCCAGATCACCTTTCTTGTTTTATTGTAGCCATTGGTACTGACAATGCTATTCTGAAAGTTAAATGACTAAGTAGGGACCTTGCTTTTATTTTGCCAAGTGCCAAACTCGCTAACATTGCCCATGGCCCCCTCCGCTTCGGTATTATACCATATTTGCTTCTCACTCTAGTTCTCTTTTTTGATGTATTAGAAGAACCAATCCTGTGATTCTTCAAACCAAAAGTAAAACAGTCAGTGCATGCTTAAAAGAGGTGGGTTATGCTACCAAATGAAGTTCATCAGGAATCAAATCTCCTGTGAAGTAATCCATCTATGATTCAATGTATATGGCTAATTATTGGATAATACTGTCAATAAGCCTTCCTTGGAGCTGACTTATGAATCTTAAGAAGAACAGAGCAGTCAATTTAGTCTTGGGAGGAGATTTGCAGAGGAAAATGATTTGGGCATTTTGCACGAATTAAATAACCTGTACCCTTAAGAACATGGCCTAGCAGGAACTAAGAGTTAGCAGATTGAAACCCAGGCTCCTCTGGACTTTCCTTTATAAGCATGAGGGAACTATGAGTACTGTAGGGTCCTTGATGGAGAAAACTATTGCTGCTGTGCTTATAGATGGCAGTGACTTACTTGCTGTCCTGGGGCTTTCTGCAAACTCTTAGTGTTTGCTCCTCTAACCTTCACCACACATTCTTTTTATTTTGTTTTTCAATATCTGTTTATAGACAGTGTTTATTTAACATCCCACATCTGGTGTTGACATTTCCATGCCAGTAAGGCCTCCCCTCCTTCCATTCTTTCTTACTTTGGTGTACCAAAAAATCCAAATTCTTGGTCCCAAATGGGGATAAAGCCATACTTGACTGCCTCCCTCTCTATATACACCTCAGGCATGAACACATGTGCATATGAATGCACACACATGTCAAAGAGGGAAAGGGATCAAAATAAAGTGAAACAGGGAGGGATAATTCTGGGTGCACTGCTCTGCTGCACTCACCTATAGACTAACAGGCCACCTAGACTACAGCCACATACAGAAGCCACTTCAGGTGAATGAAAGCCAGTCCATCAATCTCTTGTTTTCATCTTTCTTAACCAAGGAGAGGGGAACTATTCTGACACAGAGATTTTGGGTGCATTACAATAAGGCTTCACTTCCAGGCAATGATTGCACAGGAACTTTGAAGCATACCCTCTGGTGAAATATTCTTACTTAAAACTCCCTGTGTTGGACATTCAACTTGAAACAATTAGAAGCCAACTCCCCAGTTAATTAATCCAACAAGAAGAAAACAAATTAGAAAAAGTCCATCCCTTAAACTGAAAGATTTTAGTTATAGCACAGACCTTGTGGCCTATCCCCTCCAATCTTTTCTAGAATGAATCAGAAGAATAATAAATTAAATTAATTACATCTTGTTCTTCTTGCCATATCTAGGAACTTTCTTTTGACTTTAGGGCTGTTTGGAAACCATAACTTCTAAGGCACACACAACAATCCGCAAATTCCTGGGGACTTCCCCTCCACTTCTACATACCATCAACATAAGATGAGAAGTAATAGAAATAGGTGAGCATCCTCCTGTAATCCCCACCACCTCAGGTGAAGAAAACCATTAAAACAGTCTCACTTAAGATTGTGAGCCCAATTATCATTCTAGGATGAAAATTATTTGCTCAGAAAAAGCACCTTCTGGCTAAGTTTGGGTCTAGCTAAGTAAGCTGTGCCTACTTATCTAATACTAATATGGACAGAGACCAACTTTATTCACTCTTCTTTGAGGCACACAGGATATACAATTTTCCTTCCTGAGTTCTCTGGGCTCTCCTACACAGTAGTTTGGTAGGTGCAATGTGGGTCTGGAGACGTATTCATACCTTCAAGGAAAAAGTTGGAGTTTTAGTTGGAATCTCCTCAAAAGGTTGACTTGTGCCATGTCATCATTTTAAAAGAGAAGACTTCTCTGAATTGTATCTTCCTCCTAACCCATTGTGGCAGAAAGCCAACTTTTGGATCAAAACTCTCACTGGGCCAGCTCTTGCTCTAGAATAATCATGGCCTCTCCAATTATGTATATCAGGACTCTGGCTACTAGGTGCACATTCTTTTTTTTTTAAGATTTTATTTATTTATCTTTAGAGAGGAAGGGAAGTAGAGAGGGAGAGAATATCAATGTATGGTTGCCTCTCATGCATCCCCTGATGGGAACTGGCCCGCAACCCAGGCATGTGCCCTGACTGGGAATCGAACCATGGTTGTTTGGTTCCCAGGCCCGCGCTCAATCCACTGAGCTACACCAGCCAGGGCTCTCTTTTTTTTTTTTTTTTTTTTTGAGATTTTATTTTTATTTATTTTCAGAGAGCGAGGGAGGGAGGGAGAAAGAGAGGGAGAGAAATGTGTATGCGTGGTTGACTCTCGCATGCCCCCTACTGGAAACCTGGCCCACAACTCAGGCATGTGCCCTGACTGGGAAATTGAATTGGCAACCTTTTGGTTCACAAGTTGGCACTCAGTCCACTGAGCCACACCAGCCAGGGCTAAGGGCACATTTTTATTCAGTTCCTTCATTCTTCTAAGGCAGCATATACTAAGCAACCTATGTGGCTCCAGCAAGGAAAGCCTAGGTCATCAGTTGGAGCTGTCCTTTAATAGCTGAAAGTGGAATTGGAGCTCTAAGGGGAAAGCAACCCAAGTGATCAACAGGTAGTGTCAGTTCACTGGTCAATCTGACAATGTATCAGCCCAAATCTGAGCAGAATTGATTTTGTCAGCTATCAAACATTGTATCTGGCAAGGGGTGAGAGTTAAAAATGACAACTGAGCCTCCAGAGACATTTGGTGACTTTTCCAAAGTCACACAGCTTTAAGTGGCAAAGCTGAGGCTAGGAGTAGAATCTGGTCTGAGGATTCCTTCAACTATTTTTCAGCTGCATTTAGGATGAAAATCTGCATTTAGGATTTTTAGCTGCATGAGGATGATGGGTAAGTGCAGGGAGAGAATGAATAGGGGAAAATTTTCCAGCCAGCTTGAGTCTATGGATGAAAGAAATGGCATTTTTCTTGTTGAAAAAGAGGAATGTCTGCGCTGCCTATGCCAATTTTTTTGAGGGCTGAAAACTGGTGATTGAAGATGCAGAAGTCCCTTTGCATGAGAAACAATCTGTCTGCTCTGTGTTGGTAAAGAAATACCCAGAGGCCCTTTAATTCCCACAGGCTAGGTTGGTAATATTATGGTACAATTCATTCCCTTTTCTTTCTTCCAGCTTAACACTTGCTAGCCAGCAATTCTGAGCATGTATATCAGAAGAGTGTACCCCATAAACAGACAGTAAAGGGTGAAGATGGAGAGTAAAACAGATTAATCACAGATTCCAAATGCCCTCAAGTCCCTTTCAAGACAGGATAAACCTATTTTTCCCCTCCACCCCCAAACAGCTCCATCTCACTGAGGTCTGAGGCAGATTTACTCTTCCTTCTTTTTCACCAAGATGACATTATTTTAATTAGGACAAGTATGTGACTTCACATCACTTTAGCTTTATTGTGGAGAAGCTAGTTCAAAATCATTTAGTGTTGACACAAAGATATTCACATCAGCAAACAGCATCCATGGGAAACCATTGTGGAGGCTGCTCACCATGTAGACCCACATGAGCACAAGGTCTGATTCAAAGTTTAACAGGAGTCGATGGAAAGTTTTATGGCAGAAATAATAGCATTTAGATGGTTTCTGTTTTTAATATAGTTTATTGATTATGCTACTACAGTTGTCCCATTTGCTCCTCATTATCACCCTCCACCTTGCACACTGCTTTCCACCTACATTGCCCCCTTTTAGTTTTTGTGCATGGGTCGTACTCTTGATAAAAAGCTTTCTTTTCTATCCTCAAAAATTGTCACAAATTGATGCAAGTAAACTGAGCAAACTGTGAAAAAAGGATTTTAGGGCTCATTTGCTGCCTGAATAGAGAGTTTAGCTAGACCAACGAAAGAATAAGATTTCTGGGCAGGGAAGCAAAATGAGTTTGTGTTTTCTCCATGTTTTGTCAATGTGAACGTATTACATCTCTCACTGCCTGGGGCTTAAACATGTACCTATCTCATTTCACTTCTGAGTCATGGTTATTGGCTTCCCTGTCCCACTCCAGTGGGCCAGCCTTCATAGTTAAAACCAGCCTTATGTGTGGCCGGAAATATGTCCTGACCCCTCAAAAATCCCCTATTTCTGGTGCTATTGTGCTTAATACCCACCATTGGTAATTCAGTCTTTTTTTAAAAAAGGATTTTATTTATTTTTATATAGAGGGGAAGGGAGGGAGAAAGTGAGAAACATCAGTGTGTGTTTGCCTCTTGTGCGCCCCCTACTGGGTACCTGGTCTGCAACCCAGGCATGTGCCCTAACTGGGAATCGAAGCAGTGACCCTTTGGTTTACAGGCCAGCACTCAATCCACTGAGCCACACGAGCCACAGTGTAATCCAGTCTTTTGAGTATTGCACTCAATTATTTTAATAGATAAATACCTATAACTAACATCTTAGTGTGAAATCATTTGTAAGATTGATTTTTTTTATTTAACATAAGATTCTTGAAGCACCACAAGATTCATAGGTGTCTAAACAGGAGACAAAGTGTTAGAAGGAAATGGGAAGAGGAGAAAGGACTAAGAGGGTATAAAGTAAACACAATATGAAAAGAATAGAAAAGGTAAGCTAGAAGCCTTCCTGGATTAACTTTTTCTTTTTTTTTTTAAATATTTTATTTATTTATCTTTAGAGGGGAAGGGAAGGAGAGAGGGAGAGAAACATCAATGTATGGTTGCCTTTTGTGCGTCCCCTGCTGGGAACTGGCCTGCAGGGAACTGGTCTGCAACCCAGGCATGTGCCCTGACTGGGAATCGAACTGCGATTGTCTGGTTCGCAGGCCTGCGCTCAATCCACTGAGCTACACCAGCCAGGTTGGATTAACTTTTTCAATGTGCCAATTTGACAGAAGTGTTTGTCTTTGCACTGTCCTTTATGAAATAAAGCTGAGTTGGGGGCACTCTGAGATGAAATACTGGGAGCCCACTCACACATCTCTTAGGACAGCCATTCTGTCTCTACTTCAGTTTATGCCTGGAAAAGACAAAACCACTTATTCCTTCATCTCCAGAGAGACCCTCAGCCCTTGAGCCAGTGAACTTAGTAGAGAGAAAATTACTTCTGAAGCCAAAGGCATGAGCTCAGTCTTCATATTGGCCAATGAAACTTGCATAATCATTATGCAGGCAATGTGCTCCACAGGGACCCAGGCGAGACAGTATGTCTGGATTTGCTCAAACTCATCCCCAAACAGTTCAAAATGAGACACCATCATCATCTTCCTAGACAAAAGACAGTCTGTTCCAAATGGACACCTTTGATAGTGGAATTCCATCTGAGTGAATATATAGCTCACTACACTACCCTTACCTGCCACCCAGAATTCACAAATAAATAAAGTCATTCTGATCCCACTCTATTTAGCAACCTAGCATTGCTAACAAAAAAGCCAACAAGCTGGTCAATAAATACAATCAGAATGGACCCCTTCTCCTCTACCAAAACAAAACAAACCTTTGAAAGAATGTTGAAAATAATCAAGATCTGCTGAGCTTGGCAGTTTCCAATAGTTTTCATCTAGCAAGGTGTCCAAGTGAAGCACATTGCCAACAACGCAGGAAAACTCATTCCACAAAAGTACACTGAAATTTTAAATGTCACCAGTATGATTCCATAGTTTTCTGTGAGTGATTGAAAATACAGTCTGTATTTTCTCTTCTGCCTGGGTAGGCAGCCTTCCAAAATCTCCTGGTCTCTAATCTCATTTTTCCATGCAATAGTCCATCAGTGGTGCTATTGATAAAACAAACACCCCACCCCACCCCCAATGACTAGTGATGTCAACATTTGTCTCAACATCGGATAGTATTTCTATAGAAATTCTCCTCTGTTGGGAGATCTGACAAGACTGGACTGAAGTGGATGCAACATAGGTCAGGGCAACTGAGACCTCAATTTGTTGCCATAAGCAGAAGTTTCCCAAGCTGCCTGCAGAGCTATAACTGAGGACATATTTATAACAAGAAGCAAATCACAAGCCCAAAGGAATTAGCTACCTGTCACAAACCAGGCCACACTTCCTGAGTTAACCCTGCAATCACTGAAAGGTTCTAAATATTGTTTTCCTTTCCATTTTAAAATACAGTCTCTTAGAAAACCTTGCCAATGCTCAAAATCTCTCTTTAAGAAGATGTGAAATCACCATTGGTGGGAAAAACTCATTGAACAAATATTTAAGTACTAGCCATATCCAAGGCACTGCAAGGTTACTAAAAGTTACAGGACATTGTTTCTTGTTCTCCTATTCAGCAACTACACAGACATTTCATGCTTGAAGTACCATTGTTTCTACAAAACCTTCCAACTTGTTTTTCTAGTTGAGTTGGGGAAAATTTGAACAAGTTAAACTAACATTCAATCACAGATACTGGCAGACATTAAAAAACAACTGCAACCAGTGCAAGCTCTAAAAACTTGCCACTGGGAATTGTATTATTACAAAGCAACATTGGTTCTGTAGATGGCTTCTTCCTCAGGCTTTCAGTTTACCAAATTGTTTTGGTAACAAAAAAAAAAAAAACGAGCATAAAGAAGCTTGATAGCTGAAAGCCTCCTAACAAGATAGAATTCCACATAGCATCATCAGGTCTGGCGTGGTTTGTGATAGGGAACAAACATGTTTAGGCTTGTTATTTGGTTTTGGCTATAAAAATGTCCTCAGTTATAAGTAATGGACTTACTCCTAAAATTGGACACTCTGTAAGACTGCTCTTTTTCATCCTTAGAAAGAGAATTGCCTCTTTTAGAAGGAAAGTCCAGGGTTTCATTTCAACCACTCAAGTATGACCTGATAAACACCCCTTCCAAGGCACTCTCTTTGGTAAATGCCATGTTACTTATTGCAAGGTACTTGATACAGTTGTTGAATTCTACACATAGGAGAATCTGGAGAACTTGAAACCAACTAAATCAGGTTTGGCAAACAGAATTCAGAAATAAACTGAGGGGGGTTGGTTAGGCCATAAAAGAGAAGGTTAGGGGAAGATGATAAATGTTTTTTTGAGTTTAAAGGGAAAAATGAAGTAATTGAGACCAGGGTAACATTATTACTTAAAACTGGCCAAAGAGTGAATGTGTTCAAATCTCTGTCTCAAACCTAATGAATTTCATAAGGAGTAAGAGGGGTGACCATTGAGTGCTTAAAAAGTGCTGAGTTTAAAGAAACAGCATAGGTTTGAGGTGATTCCTCTGCTCCACACAACAGTAAGTACTTTACAGGCTGTTTTGCAAAATATCATTTGCTATTTAGTCAATGCTACCAAGAAAACTGTTGGAATTCTTAGTTAGTTCAGCAACTTGGCTTGAATACAAAATACTGGCTCCGAATAGATCCCCATATCAGCTCCAGCACCATAAATCATCTCGCTTGACTATCGGAAAAGTCCCAGTGGCAAGCTACTGAGATGGCACCTCACTGCGGATTGTGAAAAGAAAATGCACCCAAGATATTACCCAGTTAAAGTGTTGTATGAATGGACACACTGAGTATCTTAGAACTTGTTTCCCTGTTTTCCCAGACATATGACATGGAGCACACATTCTACAGCAATGGAGAAAAGAAGAAGATTTACATGGAAATTGATCCTATGACCAGAACCGAAATATTCAGAAGTGGAAATGGCACTGATGAAACATTGGAAGTACATGACTTTAAAAATGTAAGTTGGATATTCCTCCCCAAAGGCTTCTCACTTAAAATATTAGAACATTTTGGTTGAGTTAAAAATAGCCTGTAGCCTTCATTTAATTTACTAGACAAAGTTTTCCCTTTAAATTCAAATTTTGCCAGCCTAGGGTCCTGATAGACCATGAAACTTATTAATTCTGGCTCTTTCAGGAGGTTTTTTCTTTTTGTTTTACAGGGATACACTGGCATCTACTTCGTAGGTCTTCAAAAATGCTTCATCAAAACTCAGATCAAAGTAATTCCTGAATTTTCTGAACCAGAGGAGGAAATAGATGAAGTATGTATGAAAAATAGTCCAGTAAAAGCCATCATTTATTGGTTACTAACTATCTGTCAGACATTGCACTAAATGCTTTACTTCCGTTTGATTCTCACTTGGACCCTATGGATAGGTGCTACTGTTATCCCCAATTTCAGAGAAGGAAACTGGGACCTAGAACTAAAAAGTGACTTTCCAAAGGTCACACAGATAGTGAGTAGCAGATTGCAATATTGAACTCAGGCCTTTCAAAAAGATAGGCTCATGCTTTTAGGTGCAACACTGTACTTTTATACCTGTGTGGCCATTAACATTATATATATACCTTTGCTCCCAAACCAAAGATTTCTAGTAAAAGGAGTGAGCAGGAGAACAAAATCAATCCTGCCCAAGATAAAGACCTAAAAAAAAGTTCTAAAGCCACTGGGGATCCTTGCCATTTTTGTCACACTATCTCTTACCTATTTCAAAGATTTCATTAAGTTCATTCACCTTCCCATTTTATGCTGTGATGCTAATGGAATAATCTACATTTAATCACTAAGAAAGGCAAAAGCAAAGGTGAGAACCACAGTATATTACAGTTTATCGGAAAACACACTGCTAGGCCATGGCACTGGTGAGATTACTAGATAGCCCATGAAAGCCTAGCGGGAAATGAAGGATTATTGCTTAAAATATAGCCATCAGTAAAGCCCTTTGAGGCTCTTAATTTTTCTTCTATATTCTTTTTGTAATTACATTAAGTTGCTATCAGTGGAGGAAGAAGGGAAACGTGAGCTAAGGCCATATTTCAACAGCATACCCCTACTGCAGGCAGGAAGAAACAAATGTGTGTTTGGTTTGGTTGGTTTTGTTTTAGAGTTTTACTGGCAAATCTAAAGTGAGATTGTGGCAATGGTACACTGGCCTCTCTATATATTGTAAATATCTCTTTCTCTTTCTTCTTTTTCTCCCTCATTCTTCAATTTTCTCCTTCCCACTTTCTCTATCTTAGTGCTCATCTGCCCACTTATCTTTTCTTTTCCTTTTCTTATTTTTTGGAGTGAGATGGGGTGGGAAGTATTTTTTCCTTTCCCTTGCCAAAGTCTCAGAGCTGTCATCATTTCCCATAGACATGCTACTGCTCTCCTCATGACAAGAGAAATTATAGACACTTAGTACTAGAATCTCTAAGGAAAAATATTTCTTAAGGTATTTGGTAGTTAAAAAAATTGTAGATTTTTTTAAGTAAGCAGAAGTTAGATGCATCTGAGGAACAGAAAAACTTCCAGGATATTAAAAATACTACATGAAATAAGGGTAAGATGAAAGAAGAATGAATAAGATAAAAAGTTCCTAAACCCGATATCATATGCTGCTTTTTACAGAAAATAATATTGTTACAGAAAACAACTCAGCTGCTTTCGGGTGTATGGAGTGGAACTTCATTTTATGCGTACGGATGGAGAGGAGTCAGTCTCCAAATTCTGGGCCCCATCAGTGGGGAACAATTGTCTATATAGGGTGAGGGGTGGTCTGACACTCTGACCTTTACTTCTGGTGCAAAAGCAAGAAAGTGGAATTGCTGATAAGAGTTAATAGGAATATCTTTGTTCTTACTCCTCAGTTATTTAGTTACTTGCTCTACCTAACTTGTTGACTCAGCTGCGAGGCCCCCTCCTGGGCAGGCCATTAGCCATTACATTCATCTTGTTGATTCACTGGCTAGCCCCCCTCCTGGGCAGGCCACTACAATATAAGCTTTAGTGTAGTGCCAGCCAGCAATTAGAGCCAAAACAGACACAACAGGATTTATTTTTCTGAAATAAATAACTAAATAAAGGTCAAGACCCATAATGGTTCATTTTGGCCCTAATTTATTCTTTAGTTAATTTTTCTGAATCTTTTAAATGACACAACTATTCATTTCATGATAGCAAGATTACTTATCTTCAAGAAAAAACTATTTTTTTATATTCAGGCTATAGATATTTTATGAAATAAATTCATAGTCCTGAATGACAAACACCCTCTTATTCTATGTTTCCCTCACCTCCGTATCCATAGTTTTTGCATGTTAAACATGCAGATCAGGTATAGAAAATAGTGCTGATTTTGCTAACAAAGCTAGTCAGCATGCCAACCTCCTTTTATACAGTCCCTGTCAATGTCTCCCAGGATTTTTATAGATAAAGGGGAAAGAAACTAAGACTTGAGAGTTTTAAATGACTAAGAAAAAATTATACAAAACCATATTTCACAGAATAATTAAAAACACTGAAATTATAAGGCTAAAACAAAACAAAAAAGCGAAAGTCTTATTAAGAGCAGGGGGGCAAATGTTGAAGTTAAAAGACAAATGAGTATGAATGAGGTATTGTTGACGTAAAAAACATCCAAACCAATAACAATTTTTATGAGTTCATTTGAGCCAAAATGACAATTGCCAGAAAGCAAAATCTCAATGGATTGAGAAAATGCTCCAGAGAATGGCAGTTTAGCACCTTATTTTATATATTACAATCAAAGGAGAAGGCCTAAAGGGTTTTATGAAATCCATTGGTGATAGATTAGGGAGGCAGGAGGAAACAAATGGGGATCTCTGGGATTGGCTAAAAAGTAACAAATAGGCAGATACTTCTTTTACTTTGGTGGGTAAAGGACAGTTAACAGTTAAAAATTAACATAATAATTAAAAATGAGGGGGTTTGTGGTCTCTGCTCTGATGGGAGATTGTGTCCTGAGGAGTGTGTAAAAAGAAAATTATCCTGACATTCCAAAGGTATGTTATCATAGATGCAAAAAACAATAGACAGCCTTAGTTAAAGTAAAGACTGACCTTTGTTAGGGAAGATACCAGCCTAGGACATGTCTACCCACCATGACTTGCGTTTGGTTAGAAAGTTTTATGCTCATACCTATGTGGTTCTTTTTGGTCTCTGAGTTAATAAGGCCTCCATGCATGCCTCACCTGAGCTTGTCATGTTTAGTATTTGACCCCTTTTTCATCCACAGTATACAAAACAACTACTTCCAGTACTAGAAACTGAGGAGCAGGTAGCTAGCATTCTTGAAAATATAAGAAAGGCTACCTAAAGGAAAAACGTCTTAGACAAACTCTAAGCATCCAGAATGAAAGGAGTTCTTTAGTGGTAAGGTCAATCAAGCCACAAGCTGGAGACTTAACATTAAAATAAAAAGAACATCTTTTTCCCTCCTCCTAGCTACCATTAATAGGCAAATCCTATAAAACTAAAATATTACATTTGGTTGCTATTTCACCAGTTTAAATTATAGCAGTTTTTTTTCAGTTTCTGGTCAAATCCTGCCTGCAACCCTAGTAGAAAACAACAACAACAAAAAAATGTCAGGCACTCAAGATGTCCATTTAAAAGAGAGAAAACAAATGCAAATCACTTAGGATTTCAGAAATGGCTCAGTGGGTGGCCCAGATATTAATGGAGAGCCTTCCTAAATTTAAGTGAAATGGTAGCAGAGAAGGCTCCTGTTTCAGTGAGCAACCTTACTGTTAGAAAGAAGGATTGGATGTTAACTCTCCCACAGGGCATCTACTATATGCAAGGCACAGAGCACTCATATTATTAATTTCTCTGCCTATCCCCACTCTAAACTACTTTCTCCTCTCAGAATGAAGAAATTACCACAACTTTCTTTGAACAGTCAGTGATTTGGGTCCCAGCAGAAAAGCCTATTGAAAACCGAGACTTTCTTAAAAATTCCAGAATTCTGGAGATTTGTGATAATGTGACCATGTATTGGATCAATCCCACTCTAATAGCAGGTATGGTATTTTCCTCCTCATCCTCCTCCTCTTCCTTTCTCCTTCTTTTTCCAAAATCAGTAACAGTTTAATGTTCCCAGCATTTACAGACTACTTTTCTATGAAAACAAATGATCTGCTTATATCTTCTGAGATGAAACTGTATATGCTGACTGCCAGTGAGGAGAGCATTTTTCACAACCAGGCTATAAATCAGATAAATTAATGCTGACAGGCTTTTAATTATCTCAGCAAGTGTAACACCACATTAATGTGCCCAGTGATAGCAAAAAGTTAATCTATCTTTCTTTGCATATCTATGTTCATTGCCCTTGGGATACTAAACTATTTCTCAAACTACTCACTATGTGTTCACCCCAAGACCAGAGGAGGGAAGAGCAAAAAAAAATGCTCTGTTGTCTCAAGAATGATTGTCTATGCCAAATGGTGGCATTATCCCCAGATGATAGGACAGTCACTGCAATACAAGTGTCTTTGTGGCTGTTTTAGGAATCACTATAAAAGTACTTGAGGGCTAGAGGTCCAGAGTAGAACAGTCCAGCTCTCAACTTTCAGTCAGTCCATAGGGAACACAAAGGTCTTTGGACATCTTTTTCTGCTTGGCTAACATAGGACTTGGTCTCTCTCATTCTGGACAGCATAGATTACTATATCACCTAAGAAGGGCCACTGTAGCCAATGCAGGCATCTATTGGTACTCTGGTACCTTAAAAAAGGCAAATAATGCATTGTTTTATCCTGGATTGGATGCTAGAACTTCTGCTTCAGCATTTTTTTAAAAGACATTAGTGGAAATAATGATGAACTCTGAACAAAGTCTGTAGTTTATTTAATAGTAATGTACCAATACAAATATCTTAGTTTTGATCTTTGTATTATGGTTATTTAAGATTAGGAGAAAATAGAACTTTGTACTGATCTTTGCAACTCTCCTGTGAATCTAAGATTATTTCTAAATAGAAAGTTTAAAAAATTAAGACAGGAAAGAGAAGGGAAGAGGGAGGACAACAGAGAGTACAAACTCAAATCAGACAACATAACAATATTTGAGTATCTACCATGGGTAAAATCCTTGTAGAAGATACGAAGGTTCCCTGTCCTCAGTTTCTAATTTAGTATGCTAATGAAGCAAAACAGTAAGTGTTTGATGTCAAATGAGCAAAGAATAGGTCTGTTCACATGGGAATAATCATATTTGTTTTGGAAAATCTCCTTAAAATATCAGCTGTAAGAGGTTGGAAAAGTGATTCATGCATGCTTACATGATGTCAGTGAGAAGACACAAGGATGATCTCCACCTCCGTATGCTATCCTCTCAGTCACTTCTTTCAGAAATATTTCCAAAGCAGTTGTACCTCAACTTTGTATTTATTACCTTAGTTTCAGAATTACAAGATTTCGAAGAGGATGGTGAAGATCTTCACTTTCCTACCACCGAAAAAAAGGGCATTGAACAAAATGAGCAGTGGGTTGTTCCTCAAGTAAAGGTGGAGAAGACACGTCACACCAGACAAGCAAGTGAAGAAGAACTCCCAATAAATGACTATGTGAGTTATGTTCCTGTTTTCTTGTTAGAGGAAAAACAAAGCCCTCAAAAATCTCACTATCCCTCAAATCAAAGTCACTGAAAGGAGAATTATAAATTTTAACAAAAAAGTATTTAACAAACTTGAAATCCCCAGGGGGCTCATTTAAAATCAGCCTTGATCTCTATTGAGGTAGCTCCATAGTTAGGCTAAGGAACTTAATTTCTCAACAGTCCCCAATTCATATACTCTTATAGTCCTCCCCTGCTTGGTGGACCTCTTCCTAGTGAACCTTCCCCTCCAACACTGGCTTCTTCTTCTTTTTTTCAGACTGAAAATGGAATAGAATTTGACCCCATGCTGGATGAAAGAGGTTATTGCTGTATTTACTGCCGTCGAGGCAACCGCTACTGTCGCCGTGTCTGTGAACCTTTACTAGGTTACTACCCATATCCGTACTGCTACCAAGGAGGGCGGGTTATCTGTCGCGTTATCATGCCTTGCAATTGGTGGGTGGCTCGTATGTTGGGGAGGGTCTAGTAGCAAGTCTGAGCTCATTGCTTAAACTTCAGACAGCCAACATATAATAAATGCATGCTATTCAATGAATCTCTGCCTATGAGGAATTTGCCTCCTGGTAGCCAGTAAGTACCCCAGAATTACTTGTTGGTAATTCCTCTCTCATGTTTTAATAAACTTCTACATCATCATCAATGGCCTGATTGCTGCTGAACACACTGAGTAAGTGTTTGCTAAGAATATTTTCTGCAACTGAGATAGAACACATCTGTTTAACATGGAGGACAACAAAAGAAACTTGCATTTCATCATGTTTCAAGAGTAAGAAAGTGCAAAGCATAAGAATTCTCAAATGCCATATTTTACACTGCTCTATCAAGAAAGTGGAAAGAAGAGGTTAATGATAAAAATGTCCCTGTAACTAATGCATAAAAAGTGTCTTTTTGTGCATAGCCCCAGTGTTTATATATGTGAAAGACATATTGTGGACCCACTCAAGCATCTATTAAGCCTCTGGACAGACAGTGAGTCACAGCAGGTCAACACTAAAATATTCCAAGTGCTCAGACTCAGCAAAGAAGAATGCTAACCTAGCAAAAAAAAAAAAAAAAAAAAGGGGGGGGGGAGTCCCAGGCTCTCCTCCTGTGAATAGGAACTCCACTTTGGACAAATTTAACACTTCATAACCTTTAATCCTGACTTGACTTTAGATTAGTGTCTGGTTATATAACTTTCAAGGGAATTATCTGGAAAATGTAGATTAATAAATATCATTAAAAGAAACAGACATTATAGGAAATTACTGAGGTGAGGAGTCAAATGAGACTTTTTCCCCCTCCAAAACCATAAGGAACTAGCAATATGCCACTTTCTTAAAAGGAAGGGTAAGGCCTAATTCCTGATCACCTGATACTTTGCTGGAGAAAAGGAGAATGAGCAAAGGGGAGAGGAAAATAAGTGGTTAAAGAGTAATGTTAGCTTTGATGTCCCAGCTACTTCTAGTTCCAAAATTCTTATGTGACCAGTCTCTCACCCCTTCCAGTTTCACTTGAAGGTGGCCCCTTCATTTCTGAACTTCAATTTATTGTGTCATGACAGTATCTGTCTGAAACTTTACATTAGAAAAGCATTTTCAAAGAATAAAATCTTCACCAAGTTGCCTGTGGAGCAGGAGTCATTTACCCCCATTTAATTGAGGAAGCAAATAGAACTGGATTTGCCAAGGATGTTCTATTTTGCCAAATAGAACAAGGATTAGCCAGTCATTAATTGATAATTAGCATACATGCTATAGTTGAATTACCAATTTTCACAGAATGACAACACAATAAAACATAACTGACTGTGCAACATCATTGAAAATATTTTCATATTATTAATGATTTAGAAGACATCTGAGAATTTTGGAGTACTTCCATGATCATAACAGGCATTAACTTATAGTTGAAATAGAAAAATGTAAAATATATTAAACTAATTTGAGGTTATGTGAAGTTAATGATGTTCTCTATCACTGTTTATTAATCAATTATTCATTTTTAACATTGATTCTTAAGATGAGCCAATAATTTAAAATTCTTGACATGCTTAATTTTATACAGTTTACATTGTACTATATACTTGTACTATGCTCCGTGGGGGATACAAATTAAGTAGAAGGTATACTCTTTGTTTCCTAAGAAAAATAAGACACCCAAAATATATGAAGTCTGCCCAGAAAGTATCCAGCCATATAATATGAAAACTAGAGACATGTATCAAAGAAGATACAGGACACAAGAAACATTGTATGTAGGACAGTGATTCCCCTTCAAAGTAGTTAACTTGGACCTCACACAGTTCTCCCAATCATCATCAGCTTCCCTGTCATATTTTCCTGAGTCTCATTGACAGCCTGAAATCTCTTCCTTTCAAAGGTGACTTTAGTTTTAGGAAAACCCAGAAGTTGCAGAGCCCCAAACCTGGGCTATAGAAGGGCTGAGTCACCTGGGTGATTTGATGGTTCATCAAAAACCTCTGCACAAGGTGTAATACATGAGCTGGTATGACGTTATGATGAAGCTGTCAATCACCAGCTGTCCATAGCTGTGGCTTTCTGAATCATTCAAATCATTTCTGTAGATGAATGTTCAAGCTTAATGCAAAATTTGTTCCACATTCATTGCTTTACTTGCTCATTTATTTTGAATGGGAAGTCCACACAGTACACATGCTCACTCAACAGTGTGTACCACCCTCACTAACTAGTTCAGTGAAATCATCATTGTTTACACATATGCATTCCAGTTTACTGTCCTTGACTTCCAGGTTACATCAGTGTCATGTATGCTGTTCTCATTATATTAACAATGGTTGGACTTTCTCCAGACTGACCTCCTATAAGCTCAAGTGAAGAAAGTTATGTATAACATCTAACTAAAGTTGTGTATGGCATGATGTATATATCATGCACACACTCACACACACATGAGTTATAGGAGTTTCCATGTCACATTTTAGGGCTAAGAGTTCCTAGTAACATTATTTTAATTCAGGAAGTATTTCTTGTTCTAATGAGATACTTCAACTGCCACATCATTTCATATTGGGAAAGTATAATCCCGTTAATTAGGCAGACCAAGAGTTCAAAAGAACATGCAAGAACATGCTTAAAGAAGCATTCAAATCATTTCAAGCTTTAGGGGAAAAATCAACACAGCAAAGAAACCCAAATATATTAGTCTGTCACTTCATTATAAGCCCAAACCAAGTTGGGGAAAGTGTGATATTGTTCTCCTGTCGTAGATTTTTGACTGTCGAGTCCTATGCAGCCCCTTCTTACATCAACCCTTGCACTCCCCTCAAGCTAACCCCACTGAAGCTAGAGTTGCCTCTCTTACTTCCACCACCATTCCCTTAACCAAGCCTCCTCATCACAAGGAGTGACACCAAAGTAGCTTTGACCTCCCAATCCAGAGACATTACAGTGATTCTGAGGTATCTCTCTCCTCTGCTCTTCTCATGCCAAATACTTTCAGCTTGTTCTCCTAAATCACTCTTCAATTATGCTTATGATCCATCCACAGGCTATTTTTTAGCACAGCTCTTACAACCTCCTCCCTGCTGAAGTGTCTGGACTATAGACTAAAAGTAGAATGAATGTTTTAACATAAAGTTTATTTTTCACTTACAGATTTTATAAATGCCATTTCCTTTCCTGAAAACCCATAATAGTTACTTACTACATTAAGAATCAGGTCTATCTTGCATTCAAACAGTTCTTCCTCAAACCACCTTTAACCACCATCTCATATCCCCTTTTTTTCCTCCTATTACACTACCCACTCCCTTTGCTTATCCCCGGGACCTTAGCTTCACATTCTATTTGTGAAGTTATTCCATCTTCTTTACAGCCTTTTCTCTCACTAATTTGGAAAGGTTAAAAGATTTCATTTTCCTTTTACCTAAGAAGAGAGGGAAGAAGGTAGAGGGAATATAGGTGATTGTAAAAGAGCACAGCTACAAATCTTTTCAGAATATTAAAAAGTGGGCCTGGAGCTCTATTGAAATTTGAGATGAAAGTTCTTATCTTACTTAACTTATTTATTTTGGTATTCCTTACCTTTTCCACAGTCCATTTCTATCAGTATGAACACTTCCTCTAATCAAGCAATTTTCAACATTTTTCATCTATGGCACACATAAACTAATTACTAAAATTCTACAGCATACAAAAAAATATGTTTTGCTGACCTAACAAAAAATATGTATAATTTCAATTCATACCAGATGGGTATTGTTATGTTGGCTGTTGTCATTTTTTTATTTGACTCTAAGGGAAAGAAGGTCAATACTGCTCACTAAATATTCAAGTATTGCATGTTTTAAAAATTCTTGTGGCACACCTGTTGAAAATTGCTGCTTTAATCCCAGAATGAGCAAAAGCAGAGATGATTGCCCACAGCTCAATCAATTATCTATTTCCATTATACAAATGCAGACTTTTTGCATTTTCAGCAATTTTAAATGATTTCACATTCAAAAAAGAAAAAAGTAAAAAGCACATCTACCATGGAATCAGAAGAAATATATTACCTTTCAGCTTTTTTAGGGTTCTAAATTCCAACTGACAAAAGTCAGGCAAGGCAAAGCCATCCATTGTTCACACTCAGTATAAGAGCACTATGCATTAGTGTGCTAAGTGCATTTCCTGCATACTTAAAATGGCTCTTTGGCAGGACTAGGGCCAAGAGAAATCTATTTTCAGTCTTTATATATAAGGTTCACTGTCTGGTTAAGTACAAAACTGCGACTGTGGCTTCTAAAGTCTAATGCTGAAATCTTACTGAGATAAATATGGACCTTCTCATTCAGGCTGTCAGGAAATGCGTGTATCTATTTTATTTATACACTTAAAAATTATCTTAGTTTGACTTTCCTTTTTTGAAGAAGTTTCCTCCTGGGGCATAATTTTGCTGACAACATGTTGTTCCCTAAGAAGAAAGCAAAGTGGCTTCATATGAAAAACCAGGTATCAGTGTATACTCGAAAAACATTGTCTGTGGCTCATTTTGAGGTTCTTCTCCTCACAATCTTTAATTAACTCTCATGCAAGCTACTCTCCAAAGACTGTATTGATAAGTTATTTCGGTCAATAATCAACTCTGGAATTTGTAGCCTAATGAGTGAATTAGTTATTTGTATATTTATTGCTTTGATATTTGGGTTCCCTTGTTAGACATTCAGGTCTATTGTTTGTACTAAAAGGACTCAGAAGGGGAGAGACAGATTGAAGCAAGGGAAACAGACCAAGTCACAATAAATCCCTCAACCAAAACAAATAAAATCCAATGACTCCATGATGTCGAGATGATCCCTATCTAACAGTGATGTGGATATATTGTTTATATTTATCCTTCCCTGCTGATGCTACCATTTGCCATTCTGAATTTTCCATTGACAGCGGTATTTCTGCTGGTCTTTCTCACAGAGATGTTGGCTATTAAAACAAAATTCAGGCTTATATCCATACCAATCATCAGTGAGC